TAAAAATATATTTTATTGAAATACACATTCTTATAGATTTATGCTAGATCTCCATAGAGGCTCTTTACTTGAATGACGTATGATTCAACAGGTTAGCCTTTAAAGAGAATATTTTAAAATATTAATATTAATACGTATATTTAATAAGTTAAAATATTCTGACTTCATGATTAAAACTAGATTTTGAAAACATTTTATAAATGGTCAGATTACAGATATAAAATATCAAGACCTTTACTGAAGCTATAAAACTATAATTAATAAACTTGCATCTCATAAATGGTTCTGTAGTAATCAGATTTTAAAAAAATAAACATGAAGTACTTTCAGATGAACTATCTCCATAATTCTGTAACTTTCAACATTTAAAAAGTATATTGTTAAATTCATGAGTCTATAGAAAAGTGACTAGAAATTGTTTTGCAAACTGCAGTAGGTTAATAACTATAACTCCCTTCTTCTCATCTGGTTTTGTAATAATTACTATTATTGTTACAGCTTGTTGCCCACCATTTCTTTCTCTGAGCTGGTTACCTTCTTCCATCCAATAAGCACTAAAGGCATGAGAACAAGCTTTTGTATAAAATAACTGTAAGCTTAGCAAACTTAAAACATCAGCGTAGTACTTTGGCACACTCATTTTTAGAGGATTATCTTTCACAAAAGAAATACCCTGCCCGGAATCTTCTTTACATGAAGAACCCTAAAAGACTATGCCAGCAACTCCTTCTCTCTTTATGAATATCACCAAAATCATTCTTTCATGTTTCCTCACTTAAAAGACATTTCATGTCTTTTTCTCCATTTTCTCTTCTTGCCTTTCACATGAAAATATGAAAGCAAACTGATTTCCTATTTCTAGATGTTCAACTTAAGCTAATCTCAGTAGAGAATTTGGAAATGATAGACAAAATCAGAGTTCTGCATGCACCCAAACAACTATTAGTTACTTGTCTCATGGGATCCATTTTTGCTTGTTAAGATCCACACATCCTTCAAAGTAAAAACCCAATTTTCAACAAATCTACTACTTTATTGCTTGCCAGACCCACGGATTGTACTATAATTGACGACATGTATAGCTCTGCTCTTCCATATACTCCTATTGGTTAACATGTATTATTCTCACAGCCTATGGTGGTAAAAGCACAAAGTTGTTGCTCTTTTGCCTGTTTTCCTCCTGTGTAAGCTTAGTCTTTAAACCACAGCATTTGCTCAATAAATGCTTGTTGAATAATGAACGAATGCGTTTCAGCTATTGTTTCAGCTCCACTGCAACCATGTTAACAACGAAGAAACAATCTCAGGCCCTTTTTGGGCACCTGTATTCTCAATGCATCAGTGATTTTCTCTTTCCTATTTCAAATGTTTTTGCTGTATATGTGCAGTTGCCACAAATAAACCAACCACACATTTTCAAACCTGTGATAAACTTAGCCCCACATAGTTTTGCCAGATAATTTGTTTTAAAAATAGCAAGATTAGTCAACTGGACAAAAAAAAAAAAACCCACATATTTTCTATTTTGCTAATCTAAGAAAAAACACCTCCTTGAAGACTTCCGTTTAATATCAAAAAACATGGAGAGCTGTCCCATTCAACTTACAAGATCAACACTGTTTCAAAAGATCAAGACACATAAAAAAAAGGACAAATGGCAGTTTTATGTTATGTGTTGTCCCTGTACAACTACATGACACTCAACTGCCTAATTCCTGGAAGTCTAAGAAATTGAGTGTATATATTACATACATACACATATATATATAGACACACACATGCTTACCGTGACCTGAAGATTTAAATACTCAGATTTTTTTTTTAGAATCCTTAGTAGGAAGTGCGAAGAGTTTAAATTCTTGCCTTTTAATCTTGAAGAGAAGACAAATACTTAAAAAGTATTCCCTTTTATCAAAGATATTCTTTAAAAAATATTGTGGGGAGAAAATGTTGATTCTGAACATGCAGGCCAGCCGTGCCCTATTCTAATCACTTTCTTATCTTGGTCAATTCTGAATTAATGCTGAAAGTCATCGCCAAAATGCAAAAATAATCACTGTACCTCCAGAGTTCATCCCATTTTATTCACATCCAGTGATTTAACAGGTTTAATGTTAATGGTATATATCCTCTTCAGCTGCAGATTTCCAATCAAGATATTTTACGACTCTGTGGTAGGCAGTACTCTGAAATGTATGGCACGGGTCTTAAGTCTATGTCCCTAAATAACTAGGTGGCAGTCCATATAGTACTCATTTGGAATTTGGACTAGATCATTGGTTCTCCAAGTGTGGTCACTGCAATATTACCATCACTTGGAAACCTGTTGGAAATGAAAAGTATGAGATCATAGCCACACATACTGAATAAGAAACTAATACCTGTTTTACCCTCCAGGTAATTTTGATATGTGGTCGTTTAAGAACCTCTGGAGTAGATGATCCCTAAGGCCGCCTCAAACTATCACTATCTTACTGTTATTAGATCAAATATGTCTTCTAGAACTAGCATTCAAGTATTCCTGGAAGTCTGAGTAAAATAAAATCAAGAATACTACATTCTATTAGTTGTATTTAAAATTCTGACACATTTTCACAAGGACAAAAGTTCTCTTAGCAAGCTTCTCCCAATTAAGTAGACACTGTAACAAATGTTTGGTGTCATTTTAACTAAAAGTGGTGATTTCCAAATTAAATCTTTGTTTCCTTCATATTTTAGCTATTATAAAAAGTAAGTATATTGTTTTATGACAGGTAATGTACAGGCATTTTGCGTATATTTCTCAAGACCAGGTGCTACATATGGTGTTCTCTCACTTTCCCATCACACCTATAAGAAATACTGGATATTTAAAAGAGGTACAATCACATGCTGGTGAAAACATTTATAAAACTACCTTAACAGTTCACACAGACCAGGCATTTTAGGATTTCCAGCTACAGGAAAGGTTAACTCATCAGGAAACATAAAGCCTCATACATTGAAAGAATTCTAACCTCAGCTAGATCTTTTCCTAAAAAGTGACTCAGTGAAATCTATTTCAATAGGTAACAGCATGGAAATTGTTTTACCTAAGAACCATAAACTCCCAAACACAAAAATGTTAGACTTAGGATGATACTTTCAACAAGGCTGTTACAAAAAGAGTACAAAAATAGTCCTTTAATATATCATAAGCCTGGATGACTATCAGGGACCAAAAGGAAAATCTGTTAAAAAACAGCAGGGGTCAAGTTGAAGTTAACTTTTGCTCCCCAAGATAAAGGTTCCTTTCCCACCCAGTATGTTTTGACAGGTGATTGCCTTACAGCAAACTCCTCGCCACCTCACCCTCTTTCCCTCCCTCCCTTCTTTTAACTCAAGTCAGCCTAACTTTTTCAAGGAAACAAATGTTCCATGTCTTTACACCATAATACTACAACAGGTTTCTTAATAGCCAAATAAACTGACATGTCCTTAAAAACCATGCCCTCATTTCTCTCTGTTTTGTCAAGAACATAATGGAGAAGGCTATCAAACTAGGAACGAAGTACTCTTTTCCTGCTCCAGGAACACACACGAAACTGTTTTCATTGAGAATCCAAAATGCATTTATTTTACAGTACTCAGTAAAAGCATATTAAATTCTCCTGCCCTGCCACCCTAGACTTATTAAGAATTTAGTCATACAAGTGACTAAATCCTGGGCAGAAATGATTAATGCACCAGCAATTTATTTCATTTCCAATTTTCCATTTTCAAGTATTCCATCAGGAGCATATACATTTCTTAAGGTATTTGGCACCATTTTAGGTCAAAGGCTTCCAAAAAAAAAAAAAATTAAAAAAAGTCAACAGATGCCTTTTAAAAAATATCCTTCATAATACTTGATACGTCTTCAGAATTTTCAACACTTTAGATCTACTGAAACACCTAAATGTCCTCAAATGCCAAAGGGAATCTTTGCCAAGGCATATATTTGAGCAGCGTCCCTTAATTTATTTAGAATATATATAGTACCTTCTAACTGAGTTTGATACTAAACTTAAGTGAGATCAGGAGTGAAAAAAAAAAAAAGCCATAGGACCACCACAGGCAAAGTTCTTTATTCCTCCTCCACCCTGGAATACTGACTGAGGTGTCTCCTGGGCAAAGGACACATTTTAAGGCAAAACATGTTAATACTGCTTTAAAGAAACCTGTGGTCTGTCATTTCTTTTGGTTTCCTCAACAGAATAAATCCCTTTGTCAAAAGACCTGTGAGAAGACTTCATCTACACTCAGACTTAAGGTATATCAACTGCTGTTGATATAGAGCCATAAACCTTTTATTTTACAGAGGTAACATTAGTAAAGTGGCCCTTGAGAATAATAAAACAGAAAATAAAAAGCTCACACTGCCTCCTACTGTTAGAAGGAAAATTTCATGAGGTCAAAATGGTCCACAATCTGTAATGAGTGCAGGGTTTTTTTTGGTCTTAGTTTTTTCTTTTTAAATCTAATGATCTATTTCCAAATCAAAACCTCATGAGTTGAGATGCTGTGTACAACCCATACAAATTACTGCAGAAAACACTAAGTATGACTTCACAATGGAAGTCATCTTCTCCAAACATATTTTTGATTTGATGTGACCTAATTTAAACAAAACAAATTAAAAGTGCTGTGTGTCTGGTAGATAGTAGATGGTTACTTTCCCAAATATAAGGCAGTATTAGCAGTTAGTTTTTCCCTTCCTTACCTACGGTGAGGTTAACTGCTCCATTCCAGCAGAAGAGATTCAATATCCTGCTTATTTTGCAGTCAGATTGTATGACCATACCCCAGGGTTTCCTAGACCTTCATGATTTTTCCCATATTTTAATAAGTTGGGATGACGACACCCAACTTAGCACTGAGATACATCTGTCTTCAAAATTTGACCAGCAACTCTTGGGGACTTCATGCATCACCTGCCCCTGTCCACCCCAGCCACAATACTGTATTAAATCACTGAATATAAAACACAGAAACACAAACAATAGTTTTTGGTTTGTTTCTTTAAAAATGACATTTGTATTAAAAGTCTTAAAATGAAGAGACAATGATTAAACTCGTGTCTGGAATTAAAAATTACAATTGGTTAGAATTCTCTTGGTACATCACAACAGTAAAATTTTGACTTTGCTTTCAGAGGAACACCCTATTAACTGATAACCAAAAAAAATTTAAAAATAATATAAAAGGGGAGCTAAATACCTGAACATTTTAACAAAATGAAGCAAAAAAAAAAAAAAACCAAAGTAAAAAAAATTGCAAGACATGGAAATTACATTTTAAAGGCTGGAAATAATAAAGAAGAAATTCACCGAACAACAGGCCCTATTGTCCTGGCTCCTTCGAAAAGACTACTGAAAGGAAACTGGGAAGTGGTCTGGGGAATAACAGATTCTGGGAGAGGGTGGGAGGTTCACAGGTTGGCACCGGCTGGAACAGCTGAGTTTTGAAGGCACTCTGCAGACACAGGGGTGCTGGGGGCCCTGAATCACATTTGTGAAGTCTTTGTACTGTATTTTAAAGAGCTAGTCATCAAAATCTGTTACTGCCAACCAGTAAGAACAAAAAAACTAAACTTAAACACACACACACACATACACACACACAACAGTACACACAAAAATGTGCAGATCTGTAACATTTTTTTTCACAGCTGATAAAAAAAAATACTACCGTTCTTCCCAGACTCCCCTTAGATACAGTAGGTAAACAAAATAGATTTTTTTTCCCACAAATATCAGCAGACACTTTCTGGCACCCCACACTGTATTGGCATCAGTGTTAACAGTCCCAGTTCAGATGTGCAATACTTCAGATTGGATACACTGTAACAAGAATCCAACTTTGCATAGACATCCTCAGAATCGTAATCAGTCACGGGGTTGCCCTTCCAAGCTGGCAGAAAAGGAACCCGACATTAATTTCCAGCTACTCCTGGAAAACAAGGAAAAAAACAAAAGTTTCTTCCTCTCCTCCAGCTCCTTCATTTGGTTCTCCCGGACTTCCTTCCACGCATTTAAAACTTGGAACTGGAAAACGGTTGTTAACAAAAACAAAAAATAACAACAACAAAAAAAAACACACCCTACTTCCACCTTCTCCCTGTCCTCTTCCTCCCCCACCCCATTTTTTCCAGGTTGAAACTTTCGCTTGCTGGTGTCAAGCTGCCAATACAGCGCCCTTAACGGTTATTTAAAGGGGGAAATATGCGTCAACCAAAATCAATGAAAAACGTACATGCTGCAAAGAGCCACATTTCCAATGGGTCTCAGATGGTCAGGACCGGACACCCCTTCGGACGCCGGGAGGAGGCAGGGGACGTCGGTCGCACAGGCCAGCCGGGCTCCTAGGACATCCCGGCCAATGCAAAGTCGTCTCCAATCTCAATGCAAGAAGAGAAATCACATTTAGAGAGTCGGGTGCGTTTGGCTTTGTGCGCAAAGCGCAGCCGGCGCGCGGCGGCCGGGGACGCCTCAGAGGATCACGCAGGCCGAGCAGCAGCCCTCGTCGCCGTTGGGCTGCGCCGCGTAGTTCATCTGCCGCACGATCTCGGCGAACAGCTCGTCCACCGAGGCTTTGTTTTTGGCCGACGTCTCCATAAAGGGGCAGCTCCACTCCTCGGCCAGGGCCTTGCCCTCGCCATACGAGACCTCGCGCTCGCCCTCCAGGTCCACCTTGTTACCCACCAGGATCATGGGCACGCGTTCGTACCGCTTCACGCGGATGATCTGGTCCCGCATTGGCTTGATGTCCTGGAAGCTCTGCTGGTTGACGAGGCTGTAGACGAGGATGAAGCCCTGGCCGTTCTTGATGTACAGGTCCCGCATGGATGCGAACTGCTCCGTGCCCGCCGTGTCCAGAATCTCCAACACCGACGGCGAGGAGTCCACCTCGATCTCCTTTCGGTAGAAGTCCTCGATGGTGGGGTCGTACTTCTCGATGAAGGAGCCGGTCACGAACTGCACGGTGAGCGCGGACTTGCCCACGCCGCCGGAGCCCAGCACCACCACTTTGTACTCTCTCATGGCTTCGTTGGCGCTCTCGCTGCGCCTGCCGCGGCCCCGTCGGGGCTGCGCGCCTGGGACTAGGCTTGGCGGCTGGACTTCTCCCCTTCCTCAGCTCCGCAGAGAAAACCTAGGAGAAGGTGGCTGGGAAGTGCAGGGCGCAGAAATCAGCAAACGGAAACTGGGCGCCCCGCCGACCGGCGGCGGCGGCGCGTCCCTGGGGCGCGGGTCTGGGGCCCCGCGGCAGCCCCCGGCGGTGGCAGCAGCGGCACCGGCAGCGGCAGCCTCGGCGGCGGACTGGGAGGACAATGCCGGCAGCCTGTGCGAGGCGACGGCGGCAGCTCCTCGCAGCGGCGACCCGGGAGGGCGGGGACCTGGTGGCGGCGGGCTGCGGAGGTGGCTGCTAATTGCGCGCCGAGCCTGGACGCGCGTGGCATGAGTTCCCGCAGAGCGTGTGCCCACTGCCGCGGCCCATCGCGCTTTCTACCGCAGCCTCCGCGGGGCTAGGGCTTCCTACTCGCCGCGCGCAGCCCGGCCCTCCCCGCATTAGCGAGCATGCCCAGTGCGCAGCCAGCCGCGCCCGCTGGATTCACCGTTCCTGGTTTTCCATAGGGCCGGGCGGGGGCGGGGCTTTGGGTGGGGCTTGCGATTTGAGTTTGGACCAGCGGATTCCGGAGAGGAGAGAGTTTGGGAGCGGGTTGGGAAATGTGCGGGTCTGTGGAGGTGCTGAAAGAGGGGCCGGGAAAGCTCTGGTGGGACGGTGGTGGCCGTCTTCTCTCACGGTTCTGGGGTTTGTGTCTACGGAGGTAGCTCTGCGAGAAGTTGTGGGCGCGGCGGGCCCCTCACCCTAGAGCGTGTTCGGGTCTTGCTGACTCTTGTAATCAAAAGTCCTTGGATTCCACGCCCTGAGCCCCAGAGGGGTGCGTCTCGGGGCCGGAGATCCAAAGGACATTTGCATGCAGGAGCGGCGAGTGGAGCATCTACTCCACCCGCGGTGCCGCTCTTTTTTTAAACCATTCGCCTCAAAACATTACTTAGTCTTCTCTGGCCGACTCTTCCTGCACTACATCCCGCCGGACAAAGAAACAAGAATAGTGTGCCTGCAACACTTTCCCCGGGAGGGAAGGGGCAGGCTCTCGCGACTGATGCCCTCTGTGGGCTAGGATTTGGCGAGTCCCACCCACCTCCCTACCGGGCTAGGGCCAAAACCCGGAGACAAGAATACAACCCAGTCCGTCAGTGGCGGCGGCGCCCGCAACTAGTCAGGGCATGCTCAGTGGGTAGAGCAGGTTTTCGGGCTTAGAAGCAGGAAGCTTTTGCACCACACACCCACACTTCAGCTCAAATTACCTCTCCCAGACTCGGGATCCATTGGTCCCGGGGCGCAAATCTCACACCCTCATCTGTTGTCCCATTGGCTACCGCCAAGGTTTTGTCAGTTTGGGCTGCTTCATTGGCTAAAAAGTAGCCTCCGCTCGTGATTGGTTATTTATAGAGATTGAGTTAAGAGGCGGAGGCACAGCTGTTCTTTCTCTGCTGCTCCCCACCCCCTTCCTCCCACTTCCCCAACCTAGTCGTTTTGAAGCTAAGAGTGCAAAAATAAGAGGAATTTAGGCGGAGAGCTCAGAGCTAAAAATAGCCCTTTGTTGGTGTTTTCCAGAGTCTGACTTCTCGGTGCCCAGTCACGACTGTCCCTTAAAGGGAGCAGAAAGGGCTGCTTACAGTTCTTGGTCCACAAGCAACAGCAAAGTTTCCAAGGTGGTTTTTTTTTCTCTCCCTTTTTTTGCTTGCAGAAGGGGTAGGGCGGTCACGATGTGGAAAAGAGACCGCTTTGAATTCTTTCCACCCGGAGGGTTGGGGGAATGCCCAGGCTTGCCCTTAGAAAACGTCTTCGCTTTGGGCGGGCAGTCGCTAGACTTGGCTCGGCTCTCACTCACGGGAGGTGAAAGGGAGATGCCCCGACTTGCCTCCGAGTCGCCCTCCTTGGCGGAGGAGAGATGTTAAAACCTGTCAGAAGGATTAGCGAAGTTAGTGTGAGCTCCAAGGTGAAGGGGGCGGTGGGGGGCAGGGGGAACCGAGCTGCGTCAACCCCTGGCTCCGCGTCCTGCCTTATTTTATCCGATACCACTTCACACTAGTTTAACCGTCCGCATCGCAGGGATGAGCCAGGCAGGGTGCTGGGCTAACACTTGATTTCAGTTCCCGAGCCCCGCCGTGACTCACAGCCACGGATCCCTGGCTGTGGCTCACGCTGTGAGTGTCGGCAGTCTGAAGTCCTTGGCCACGGGACCCTCGGGACAAGGGCCGCAACCTGTGCCTTGGATGGGGGTGGATGGTGCCCAACCCCGCGCCTGGCCCTGATGTTTAGTGGAGACAGGGATTGAACCTTGATGATCAGAGTGCTCGGATATAATTATGTTTATATAATTCTTCAGATAAACCTCTCTGAGACAGATACACCTAACACAGATGGAGAGAACCTCACAACCTTTAACCAGCTTTTAATGTCTGCCACGCCTTTCTACACGTGCTCTCTTATTTAATCCGCATGGTAATTATAATATCTGTTTTAAGATGAGGAAACTGAGACCGTGATGTGTTCAGTAACGAGATTTCACAGCTAGTGTGCGGCCAAGCTAGGGTCACAGGTGTTTGGCAGCTTGTAACCAATCGTCCATACTATTACACAAGAAAATTCCAAGATTTTACTCTTAGGTTGAATCTTCAGGTCATGTGATCAGACTGGTTCTGAAACCCAAGCAAAAGGGACCTCAGCCCACCACCACCACCACCACCACCACCACCACCACCACCACCACCACCACCGGCTTGTCTCCTTGGGCAGTGCCGTGTCTCGCACTTAAAAGAGCCTGAGCCTCCTCCAGACACTAGTCCTGATGGTCAGAATTCTGGAATCCCCTATCTAAATAGTACCAAACACTCTGTCGGGATGAGCCTGGGCCCCTGAACTCACGCTGCGTCCAGGAATGGATCTTTGTTGGAGTGTGCAGTGCTTGGACCTAGGGGCTGAGGTGTGTACCCTTCCTGGCACTTTGAGCCCCTCCTTAGGGTAGGAGGAGGGATCAGGTGGACTCAGCTATCCTTTCCCTGTGACCTCCCAGCCTGACCCTTGGAGGAATCTAAAAATTCACTGTTCAAACCTAGCCATCCAGGTTCATTTGTCAAAATAGGAGGATCGTATTTTAACAGTTTATCTTGAGTTGTAACTTAAATACTTAGATTAATGCTTTGTGGCCCTCTATTTGTCCTCTTGCACACAACTATTAGGTGTGGTTCTGAGTATGATCCAGTAGAAAATGCTTTGTCCTTGTACATCTGGTGTCTAATCTCAGGTATTGGATAACAATTATTACTTGAGAATGTGGGCAAGTCCCTTAAGGCCTCCTGACCTTAGTTTCCCTAGCTATTAAGTGGTGATAATAAAATTGGCCCTACCCACCTATACGAGGAACCTTGAAGAGAGAGAATCCAGTGACCAAACCCCTCATTTACGTCAGACAGAGCTGGGCAGAATTAGAATCCTGGTGTCCTGGCTGTCCTTTTCTTGGTGCCAGCCTGTCCTTGGGGATAATAATGAACAGATAATGGATGGAAACATGCTTTTAAAACTGCAGCACCTCATAAATGCATGACGATTACCCAGGCTTGGGCCCAACAACCCCATCTAGAAGAGATCATCCTCGGGACTGGTGGATGGGTGTTGTTGAACCTTGGTGGCATCTTCAGTACCAGAAGGATGCCACAGTTTGAATACTTTCTTTTAGGGACTCCTCAATAGCTATTTGTATTGCATTCAGATAGTCTCCCACAGAAAGCTTTGGGATTCAAAATGAAGTAATAAAATTGCTAATGCAGACATTTTTAAGGTTGGTCATTTCCTCTTAGGAAATCTGCTAGGAGTCTTCATTTACCTCCCTTAGGGGCCTTATATGTCCTGTACAATACGTATTTACCTGTCTGTGTCTTGTCACCCAGCACCATGAGAATTCCTTGAGGGCAAAGCTCATACATATTGGGCTTATCTTTGGAGCCACCTCTGTGTCCCATGACGTATACTGCAGTGCCTAATATATGAGGCCCTCAATAAATATGTATTGAATGTATGAATACATACTAGTTTTTGCTGAGACATAACATTTCCTGGAGCTGTAGAAAAATACGTAATAATGTTTCAGCCTCCCTGAGTCATAAAGATAATCAGAGTCTACCCTTACTTCAGTGAAACACTAAATCAGTGCTATCTTGGAGAAAGATACCCAAGCGTCCAATTACATAAACCTGTACTCTGAAGAAGATTTAACATTTGCAGATAATATGAAATGGCATTTCCTGGAAACGACTGACAGTAAAAGCTACAGGTAAGGACTGCTTAACCTTTGGTACTGAAGGTTACTGGTTTTTGCTCACACGGTGGGACTAACTACTGAGGTTCTCTGACACTGGGTTGGGGCTTCAACGCATTAACTCGTTTCTTAGAGCACGAATCTTCGGAATCCTCAGGAAAATAAGTACCACCTGTCCTCTTCATTTATTCAAAGTAATTAGTTTTTTTATGGTGCAAATAATTGCATCAGCTTGCTATTAGCCTTTGATTTGTTTATGCTTTCTTTTATTAAGATATTGAAAAACATTCCTATTTTGAATGTTTTGATCTTTTCCTTGATCTTTTTGTGAATTTCACACCCAATGAAAAGATGTCTCACACTACAAGATATTTGATACAACTAGTATTTTCTTTTAGCATTTTTAAGCTTTCATTTTTTTATTGATACCTTTTGGCTTGCTTTTCAACTGAAAAGACAGCCTCAGTAAATATGGGGAGATGGAAATTCAAGCAATAGGATGCCCGCTGAGTAGTTTCCTCCTCAGTTTCTGAGGAGGGTGATGGCAGAGAAGTCCTCCTCCGAGAACTCTGGTGGGAAGGCTGAGGAGGCATCCCTCCTCTTGAACAGGAAAGAGGAGCCAAGAGACCTGAGAGCTGGAGCTGAGAAGGTGAGCGTGCAGA